AGACAAGCCTGGGCCATTTAGTGAGACCCTGTCCCCAAAATTAGAATAAAAAATTAAAAAGGGCTGGGAATGCAGCTGAGTACAAAGACTCTGTGTTCCAAACAACACCCTCCCAAAATTAAGATGAACAACTTCTCAATGTTTGCAAAGATGCATACGTTTATTGGAAATAAAGCAAAACCAACTTTTAAAAATAGGCAAAATAAAAGGAATTTAAACTATACTAGGTATCATTTTCACCTTTCAGTACAGTAAAGATCAAATATTTTACCAAGTATGAAGAAATACTATAGGATAGGGGCCTGGGATTTACTTCAGTGGCATAAGCACCTGCCTGACAAGCACGAGGTCGTGAGTTCAATCCCTGGTACTGCAAAAAAAAAAAAAAAAAAAAAAGAAAGAAAGAAAAGGAAGGGGAAAAAAAGATGCTCTTTTGTACATTGTGGGTGGGAATATAAATTGCACAATCCTTTTGGAATGGAGTTTAGAATTATCTATAGAAATCACAAAGGAGGGGCCAGAGATTTAGCTCAGCAGCATAAGCGCCTGCCTGGCAAGCACCAGGTCATGAGTTCAATCCCCAGTACCAAAAAATAAATAATAAATTACAAATGAACATGTTCTGTGACCCAATGATTTTTCAGGAAGGTATTCTATGGAAAAATAATGTGCAGCATTTTCTGCAGACAAGAAACAATACACACACAAAAAAAAAAAAAAAAAAAAAAAAGAAACAATACAAATATCCAGCAATTACGCGACAGTTATACAACAGAATACTATTCAGCTGCATAAAAGAATTGGGCAGCTGTTTGAAGACACATAGGGAATGATTTCCTTGACATGTGGGTTAGTTAAGAAACAAGTTTCGGGGCTGGGGGTTTAGCTCAGCGGCATAAGCACCTGCCTTGTAAGCAGGCAGTTGTGAGTTCAATCCCTGTTACCGATAAAAACGAAAAAGACAAAAAAAAAAAAAAAAAAAAAAAAGAAGAAGAAGCAAGTTTCAAGACAGTGTGCATCACACAGTGCTTTTAAAAAATATCTATCAAATGCTTATAGGTCATATAATGCCTCTTAAAAAGCACACAATATACTAGGAACTTTGGTTACATCCAGGGAAAAGGCTGGAGAATGGTAGAAGGCTTATTTCATAGCTTTTGGATTTTGCACTATTATTTACGTGATTATTAACCATCAAAAAATCAACTTAAAAGGCACAGTCTCATAAAGTTTTTAATGGTTTTTTTTTTGTCTTTTTCGTTTTTTTTTTTTTTTTTAATCGGTACCAGGGATCGAACTCATGACTGCCTGCTTACAAGGCAGGCGCTTATGTTGCTGAGCTAAATCCCCAGTCCCCATAAAAAAAGTTTTTAAACTTTGGTTTTAAAGACATCCTAAGAGCTGAGCATAGTGGTGCATGCTTGTAACAAGATTTCTTCCAAACAAAATTTTTAACAGCATTTTCTGAGATTAGCAAAAAGAAGCAACACTTTATTCGTTTTGTAAAGTAAGTACAGTGCTTCAAAATAATTGTTTCTTGATATAATAGACTTTTCTTACTCTAGTACAGCACCCCATCTGCTTCAACCAAGAGTTCTGGCATCAGAAGCTCATAAACCTTACTCCAAACAGCTCTTCAAACGATGCAACAGAGGATATTTCGAAGAGGGTGTATTTTGATATATAATATAAAAATACATATATTATGCCAAATTTTTTTTTCTGAAGGATACTGGGATAATAAGCAGTGTAAGAGTTCACCCACCCTCGAGGGCTTTTCATCTAATGTAGCCTAGGAGCCTACGACATGTTTATATGTGAAAATTACTACCATGCTGGGAGGATGCCCAAGAAGCAGGGTGAACAAGCAGCCCCTCAACAAGTTCAGGGGGAAACATCCCATCTTCTAGGAGAATAAAGGCCTCAAAAGAGAAACGGAACCTGGGTCGGGCTTGACGATCCAATTTCAGCAGACTGGAGACTGCCGATGGGCACACTGCTTGGCTCCGGAGCAAGTGAATGGGCCAGCCTGGACAAATGGAGCCTGTGGGTGGCAGAGCAAGGACTCCAAGCTTATGGAGGTCCACTAAAAAATCTCCCAACGCCTGTCTCTTTCTGCAGCTCCAGAAATTGTGGTTCCTCTTAGCAGGTCCCAGAGCTACCATTTATCCTCCATCCTCACGACACAAAACAGCCCAAATTCTGATGACCTCCTCAGCGAAGCTCTCCAAATTGTTCTCCGTGGTTTCCAATCTTCTCCATCACCAATTCGCAGTACACACCACATTCATACTCTGTACGCACAAACCACTCACCCCAAGTCCAAGCACTTCCCACAAAATCAATTATTTACCTTCATTTTGCTGTTACCTCTCACGCCATCCCTGGATGCCCACCACCTAAACAGAACACAGACATTTCATGCCAGTGCCCATGCCCACCCATACCATTTCCTTGTACCTGGAAAGGTCTTCCTGTTGTTCCCAGGTGTGGTGTACATGGTTGTGCAGGTTGCAGACACCAGCCCATATAAAAGACAGCCCTTGCCAGTGTCCAGTGATGGCTTCTTTCCATCTTGCCCACTCCACTTACTCAGAACCATTTAACTCTCAAGACATCTACGGTGCCTCTAAGTCCTCGATCTTTCAAACAAGTTACACTATTTGGAAAATCAACAGTGCATTGAATCCAGTACTCCCTCAAAAGATGCTTGCAAATTATGATGGGATAAATCAAGAACAGCACATTGAGCTTAAGAAAGGAGTTCAGGCTTTTGGCAGATCCCAAATATAGTCAAAAGACCAGAGAGATGCTTTATAAGGACTAGTTTCAGGTTGGAGATGTGGCTCAGCAGTACAGCATTTGCCTAACCTACACAACACCATGGATTTGACACAGCACCACAAAAAAATAAGATAAAATAATAAAGAAAAAAGAAGCAAAAGCCAAGTCGGCAGGGTTGGAGAGATGACATCTCTGTCGAAGGCGATGACAGAAGGAGCTGTCAGCAGTGTGCAGCATCCTCTGTAGCCCAGCTACGCTTAAACTTATCTACTTGGGATTCCAGATACTGGCTTTCATATACCTGATTTCACAAAGCAAAGCGTAAAACTGGGCCATTAAGCCAAGAAAAACACACATTTGCCTGAAATATCTGGGTATCTAGGAAACAGTTCTGACTTGAATAATTATACACATATATGAAACACATACACACAAACCAAGCACTACTGAGTCTTCCTCTCGGTCTCCTTCCTTTCCATCTCTGCCTCTCCTCCTTTCTAGTCTCTCTCCCTGAAATTATTATTCATCTCTCTCATTTCTTTCCAAATGTTTTACATTAATGATTTCCAGGCTGCCTTCCACTTCTCTCAATACTCCCTCCCTTCCTCAAAAAATCAGCAGTCATGTATTTCAATTCTTTTTGCTTATATAGTTGGCTTAGCCAACTGCCATAATATCTGTTCTAATAACTGAATTCTCCTGTTTCCTTTGTTAATGTAGCTCAAATCTTCACTAACCTTGTCATTCTTGAGTTACCAGTGAATCATTTCAAGGTCAGTCATTTATAGCTCATTTCCCAGTGACCTTAAAAAAAAAAAAAGTAAGGGCACTTACATGTTTATGTACCTTAAGTTAATTCCATCGTATTGTTGGAGTACCAGGCAATTCTAATCTCCAAATTGAAAACAGAACCCAATACCCTAAACAAAATGAGTTTCTTGATTTTTTTCAAGGCATGCATCTTGGATTTCGTAGCAAGATGGCATATCAGTAATATTCTATGATACTAGACAACTTTATTTACTTCTTAGATTTATACAGAAATCTTTACTCCCCACAGGAAGAATATTACATAGAAGTCATTGCATTATCAAGAAAACGGCATCACTGCTAACACACCTAGGCTCATCAGGAAAAGATCACAGGGCATAACCTTGAATTTAAAAAGTGAGTGGAGAAAAAAGTAAAACAGAAAGTGAATGGAGGAGAAATCTTAAAACAGTTATCAAACAAAGGTAAAAACAGAATACACAGTTTGGTTTTTGTGCCCAAAATGGCTGTCTCCCTTGAAAGTCCAACTTTAGTCTGCTTATTCCTCCCACCAAATATGCAAAATAAACTCACTTGCACTAAAAACAGAGAAGTGTTATCACCATTACGAGGTAAGCATGATCTTAGGAAGATTGAAATATTCTCTTATCTTAGTAATGAGGAAAGAAAAACTACTCAAATTCTCTTTCTGGATCCAGGGTAACTTTGACACTTTCCTCCCAGGGCAATTTCCCCACTAAGTCACAGTGTGGATTTCTGGTACCACAAGGGTGAGCAGGAGCTTTGCTAACTCCACTTTTTGAGAGGGAAAAGAAAGGAGAAAAGAGAACATGCATCCATTTATCTAGAGTCCAACATTAAATTAGCCTCCCCTTGCCGTGCGTGGTGGTGCACGCCTTTGATCCCAGCACTTGGGAGACTGAGGCAGGAAGCTAACCACAAGTTCGAGGCCAACCTGCACTAAACTATGAAACCCTGTCTCCAAAAAAAGCCTCCTCTGTAATACAGGAAATCCATCACAGCACACATCATGCCGGGCAGAGTGTAGAGAACATACGGGCAGTGGGCCACATTCCACCAAAATAACACTTCATCTTCCCAAACACAAGAAATTGGCAAATATTTCAAAGTGGTCTCAACTCAGATTAAATGTTTGCACACTAATAGAATAAAAGTTTAGAGAAATCTACTTAGCAGGTTACTATTAGCTCAGAAGTAAAACACTAAGATGGGAAGGTCTGTATCTGCCATGTCCAGGCACCCCTCCCCTGGCCCGGGGATGTCTGTCTCTCAGGATGATGCATAGCTAAGGGGTGGATCAGACCTGGGGGTATAAACAGGAGTGTAAGTGGGACCGGCGTCCCTTAGTGCGTAGCAGACAGGACGGAGACAGGACGCACGCACGGACGGGACGGACACACGGGCAGAGAAGCGTTGCGTCCTACCCGGAGGGCTCCCTCCCAGGGCCGGCGGAGTACCTGCTCCGGTCATCCAGGCTGCGGTTGTCTGCAGCCGCGGTGCGCCAGTCGGGCAGCGTGCTCGCGCACAGCACCACCATGGACACGATCACGAACACCACCGACACACTGGCCAGGATCTGCGCGGCCAGCGACGATGTGGGCTCCTCGAAGGTCCGCCGCATGCGTTCCAGCCAGCGGCGGGAGTGCGCCGCCTCGGGCCCAGCGGGTCGCGCTCCCTCGCGCGGCCGCGGGCCTGGATCCTCGGCCGAATAGAAGGTGTAGGTGTCGGACATGCGGTCGTCGAGGCGGCGCTGGCAGCAGTACTCGAGGTGCGCGCCCTCCAGGCCCCAGTAGATCATCTCGTTGTAGAAGGAGAGCTCGCACATCCGCGGCGCGAAGCGCAGCTTGCCGTGGCCGCGCACGTAGAGCAGGATGAAGCCGAAGGCCTCCGAGTGCCGGTCGAAGAAGTACTCGTTGCGCTCGCGGTCGTAGTCGTCGCACACCTCCAGTACGTCGCGCTCTGAGCGGCAGCCGTGCAGCCGGCTCACGCGGCGCAGCGGGAAGTCCTTCAGCAGCTCCCGGGACAGCGAGTACCGGGCGCCGCCCACGTTCAGCACCACCGAGGCCGCCCTGCTGCGCCCGAAGGTCATGGCTGGCCGCCCCGGGGCCCCGCGCGCCGTCGGGGCCGCCCTCCCCCGGGCTCCGCTGCTGTCGCCTCGGCGCGGCCGGACCTGCGGGCGGCCCCGGAGTCTCCCCTGGCGCCAGCGCTACGCCCCGCGGGCCGGGAGCGAAGGTGGGTCCGCGCCGCTGCCCCCCTCACCGGGGATCCCCCCTCCAAGACCGGCGTGCGCTCTCCTCCGCGCCGCCGACAGCCTGAGGGGCGCGGGCGCCGAGAGGCTGCAGCTCGGGCAGTCGCCCCGCCGCCGTCCAGAGGCGAGAGGCGAAGTGAGCGGGCTCGGCGGCGCGAGGAGCGGCTCGGGGCGGGGGCGGGGCCTCCCTCGCTGGCCTCCCCCTCGCCGCCCGCCGCTCCGCGCGCTCGCCTCCCTCCGCGCGCCGCCCGCCCGCCCGCGCCCGCCAGCGCCCGGGCTCGCTCGGGCTGGGATTCCCCGGCGCCCCACCCTGGACCTCGGGCTCCCCGCCGCGTGACGCTGGCCTCCCGCGGCGCTCCCGCTCGCAGCGGCCAGGAGGGGTCCTCGGAGCAGGGATGCCTGCTGGCGCGTCCCGCCCCGGCCATCGAGATGGCTGGGGCAGCCCCGCAAGGGCCCTTTTAACAGCCTCCGAAGGGAGGTGACGGGAGGGAGGGTAAGGCGGGGTGCTGCGGTGAGGGCTGGGGTGCGGGGTCTATCTCAGACTATCCGGAACCCCGCTGGGCATCTGAGGCACCCCGAAGGACTTCTCAGAGCAGAGGCTGCTAGCCGCTGCTTCTCCTGCCGACTTCGCTCCTCTCCCCGCGCTGGGCTACCCTCGTGCCATGTACCCGTCCTGCAATCCCGCTTCCCCGGGCCCTCTGTGACGCCCCCCGTGGACTGGGGTGAAAGTCTGGGGCGAATTGTCTTTTCACTGATAAAAACAGAATTTCTTGTTGCCTTAGTCCGCATCTTCGGTCCCCGCGGTGCGCCCCCAGCTCGGCTGCTGCGCCGGCCGGCTAAGCGTGCAGAGCTGGCCCGAGCACTCGGCGCGCTGCCCCTTGCGCAGGCAGAGGGTCCGCTGGACAGGAATCATGCTGATCCTCCACCGGCCATTCAGACACCCGACCCCGGCAGCCCAGCAAAACAGAAGCCAAACAGGTGAGTTGCGAGGGCAAGCTACGTTTCATGCAAAGCAGATTCTGGGAGAAATAATTAGAAGGGTGGGGTGGGTGCGGTCATCTGAGCACTGAATAACCCGGCTGGTTCCTGGGAAGGGTTTTACGTGGCCCTCCACTTTCCATAATTTTGTAGGATTGTTCCGTGCCCGCTAGAGGTCACCATAAAGAATTATTTGCTTTGGTTCCAGTGTGGCTGCCTTAGTGAAAAGGCAGACGCCTAAAAATTGGAGGGCTGTCTGTGACAAGTCACTCTGGGTGGTTCCTAAAGAATGGAAATCTCTGGAGTTGTTCATCCCTAGATTTGAATAATTTATCTCAAAAGCACTTAATGTGATTAAAAGCTAAAAAGCAAGACTTATCTGTAAAAGAGCTAACAAGAAAAACATCCTGGAGCAAATGGAAGGAGGTGATGGCCATGAGTTGGCAGAGGGAACGAGCAAAGGATTCCAAATAGTAGCATCTCAGCTGTGGAGGATTAAAGTCTGTGTTTTAAAAAAAAAAAAAAAAGTGAATATGCTTTCCTGGCTGAACGAGGTAAGTGTCATCCTGTAAGCAGTGGGCTCTCTGAAGCCTTCCTAACAAATGGCTTGAAGAAAGCTTTATTTCAGGGAGATGCTTTTGCCCCGTAGGTTATTCTTTCTTCTGTTTTCTGGTGTTGAGACAGGGTTTCACTATGCAGTTCAGACTGGCCTTGAACTCCCTTTGTAATGAGACTGGACATGAACTCAAAGCAATCTGCCTCAACCTCCCGAGTGCTGGAATACAGCCATGCGCCAGCCGCCACAACTTGCAGACTTGTGAGTTTTCCAAAGAAAAGGCCACTCCTGCTAAATGGGAATGGAAACCCCACCTAGTCAGTAGAAAAAGGAAGTTCCATTATGAGAAACAGACCAAGAACTTAGTAGGTCTTGCTAATTGATTTGTTACAGGACACAGAGATGAGCCTGGATTCATGCTGGCAAGAATCAATTCATCAGGAAGCTGTTAAAAATACATTCTAGAAGCTTAAAAACAACCGAAGTGAGAAGAACTGTTGTGTTGGTTGTTTGCTAAAGCATTACTATATTTATTTCCTATGTTCTCTATCCAAAATCCCTTTACAGTCTGTTGACTGAAGCAGTTGAAGAAACATCTCATTTTAAATTACATTCGAGCTTAGAAAACAAATTAATTTGATGACAATGCAATTTGTGACTCCTAAGTATATTTTCATAAAAAATTTTAGATATGTTTAAATCATTTCATTTGTTTAAAAAGGTCTTATTTGATTTTAATATCATCAACCACTGCTGCAGCAGCAATACCCAAATCATTTTCTTAAGCAAAGAATACAGGAAGATGTAGAAATGATTGACTTCTGTCAATACAATCGCGTTTAGAGAGCATTCTAAAAAATAATTCTATTCCTTTGTATTTTGAGAAGATTGTGTTAAGAATTATTGCATCTACATTCTCTCTTAGATTCAGGATGATAGGGTCTTCATATGCAAATCTTTAGAATATTAAAATTTAAAGGCACCTGGCAGAATTCTAAGAATTTAAAAGAACCTAGAGGTTCTCAGTTTATCAACCCACAATGGATCGTGATGGTGTATGCCTGTAGCCTCAGCACTCTGGGAGACTGAGGCAGAAGGGTCACAAGTTTTAGCCCCAATGTATCCAACTAGCAGGACCCTGTCTGTCTGAAAATATAAAATTTTAAAAGGAGGGCCTGGGGCTGTTGTTCAGAGTGAAGGCTCTGGGTTCTATTCCTGGTATAAAATATGTATAGAGATATCTGTATATCCATCTGTCTATCTATTTATCCTAAATCCATATCCATTTTAGGGAGGAAGAACAAAGCTTCAGAGATGTGGCTAGCAAGTAAGAGTCCCTAGCAGAAGCAGCATGGCAGGGACAAGGCTAGAACCAGGTCTTCTAGTTGCACACTGTAGGCAGTTTCATCTTCCGCACCTCCATTGACACGCTTTACGCCTGTCTCTTTGCAGTCTAGCTCTTTCCTACCTCTGAATCCTGCAAATCCACCAGATCATCCTTCCGCTTTCCATTTGCATCAAGGCAGTCCCCAGTTCAGCGTCCCCAGGACTACACAGACCTGCAGAACTGCAAATTGTCTGTACGGTTAATTAGGACCCTCCCTAGATTCAGCCTGGCTACAGTTCATCTGCTAAATGAACTAGAGCCAGCTCCCTAACCTTTTTGAGCCTCGGTCTTCTCATTCAAAAAATGAAGACAGTGGTACCCAGATCAGAAGAGTGATACAAGAATTACATATGATGATGCAAGGGTTGGGTTTATAGCTGTGCCATCTACATGATAGGGATATAGCTTGGTTCATGACAAGGAAATCCACTTTCAGCCCAAGCAAACCATGATCCTTTCCTTCCTAAGTTTTGAATAAGCACAAATTGGACAGGTGAATTGATTCATGTAAACATGGAACCAACCACAAAGAGGTAACATGAAACATCCAAAACTCATTGAAAAATTATGACCCTTACCTCACTAAACCTAGGTTGAAGGAAGATTTCTCCATCACTTTGTAGTGCATGACTGGTTATGTGCAGAACTGTGAACACCTTGTTTACCTCAAAATCAAAATATTCTGGGCACTACTATGCCATGCAGCTTATCAACGCTGCTTTTTAAAAAACCCTTATTCTGATATTAATTCATATTTGTGAATATTTGTATTTGCATCAGCTTCAGAGCCTCTGCAGAATTATTAAAAGGCAGCTTTTTGTGTAGCCCAGCCCAATGTTACATCTTTATAAAGCCCAGCTACTCAGGAAGCTGAAGCCAGAGGATCCCAGGTTCAATGCCAGCCTGGGCAACTTAGTGAGACCCTGTTTCAAAACTGAAAAGGGTTGGAGATGTAGCTCAGCACTGCCTAGGTTCGATTTTAAGTACCACAGAAAAGAGAATTCTAGTTTTAGGCATGATGTTCCTCGCCTATAGTCCCAGCTATTGATTAGCCTAGCGCAGAAATTTGAAATCAGTCTGAGCAATTTAGTGAGACCCTGATCTTAAAAAACAAAATTCCCCCATGCTGGATTGAGACTTGAAGCGCTCCTGCCACAGCCTCCCACAGTGCTAAGATTTTAAGTGTGCTCCATTATGTCTAGCTCAGACCATAGTGTCACTGTATAATCATTAACAGCAGAAGTAATTTTTGGTGTATTACAGAACAGCCTCCACATGTTTATTTCCACCCAGACCTCCCACCCTCCTGCTGTAAAGATTGGGGTGACCCCTCTTACCACCACTTAATGGGCCTTGCTCCATAAAGGACCAAGCCCTTTCTAGTTATGCATCCGCTTCCCACGGAATTACTGTTCTGTTGCTCTCATTTCACAGTTGAAAAAGTGAGGCTCTGAGACTTACATGACTTGCCCGAGGACCACAGCTTTCAGTCTCCCTGTCCTGGAACCCATGGACCCCAGGGGCTTGTTGCCTCAGGCCACAGCTGGCTCCCCACCAGCTCCCCTCTCTTGCCAAACATCCAACATGCCTGAGGCAAAGAAGCAAGTCAGGTACCAGAGGGAGCAGTCAGACAGATTAGATTAAAAGTCATTTTCATATGCTGAAATATGTAAGAATAATGTCTGATATTTGCTTCAAAATGAGCAGGGGCTGGGCTGGGTATAGCTCAGGTAAAGTGCTTGCCGAGCATGCACAAGTCCCTGGATTCACTCCCCAGAACCACAGAAGTAATAATAAATCCAAGTTCAGGGCTGAGTGGGTAGAGACACAGATGAAACACTGCTGTTCACAGGTCAGTAATTGTTGGAGCTGGGTGAAAAGGCTCATAGCATTCAGGGCTCCTCCTCTGTGTGCATTTGAAAATGTCCATAACAAAGAAGTAAAATATTATAACCTTGAACTTTGTGAAACTTCTATGAAAGAAGGGGTGGGCTGCCAGGGTCAAACCAGAGCCTTGAGCATGCTACAGAAGCACTGTACAACTGAACTGTATCCCAAGCTGCCTATGTTTGTTTTTGAATGTTGATCTTTTATTCCTTTGGACCGAACTTGAAGGTATGCTTTCATGATACTCATCCTGGTGGACCCCTCCAATTTCTTCAATATGTATTACCTTACCCTACTATGTAAGTGTGGAGTGTGTGTGTGCGT